TGTCAAGCGATAAATGGTTGTTTAGGTTAAGTTTTTTTTTTGGAACCAGAGGCCAGATAAAAAATACAGCGCGTTTCGTTTGTTGGATCGTTTGTAGTTTTCATGTGGAGATTCGCTAGCCTGTTTCAGGCTCTCTGTTTAGACTGTTTATGGCGGCGTGCCAAAGGGAAACGAGGCGAGCGAAAGAACAAAGGGATCTGGAACAGGGGGAAGTTCCGGCCGTTTTCGCCCGAAATCCCTGGCCTTTTTTTCCATTCGTTCTTCGCGCGGGTTTACCAACTACTAACCAAACGCCTGGAACAGACTGGGGGATATACAAAAGTTAGGTATAGGGGACCGTAGCAGCTGCCGCTGCAACTTAATGGCAAACGGTGTCATGTTTTCCTCGGTAATTATAAAATTCTCAGCTCTAAACGGAGATAGCTCTTGATAGAATTTCAAATCCGTACAAACTCCTGTAGAACCCCTCACAAACCCGTAAAGTACGCTTTGTTTTCACTTATGGGGATATTGGGGTAAATATGAAAATGCAATGGTATAAATTTTTGTTGTCTTCTTGACTTTTCTCTCAGAACTGGATGTTTCTACATTGGAATCAGGCTGCAGAGAAAATGAAGGAGTGTGTGCTACTATAGACCTCTATAAAGCATGGCATTAACGTGTGTGACCTCTTCCTCTTGTTAATTCAAGATTGAACAGGCTATGGCAATGGAAGCGAATGAAGTTCACTTCTATGCACTGGTATAATATGTAAATATATATTTCAAGTCAATAAGCTGTAAGACAGCCGACGCAGGGCTAGTGAGCCAGATCAGTTTCCAACCGTACGAACAAATTATTTGAATACTTTTATAGTGGCAATACTTTTATAGGTTTTTATGACGGTAAAATGTGCTGCCAAAACACATTAGAGTATGTTGGTATCCTTACTGGGTAATAGATCTTTTTACGGTAGAATCCGCCATTTTGAAAATGGGTCAAATTTATCGCAAAAGTAGAGTTTTTATAGGAATCAACCGCTTTCAGCGTTTAGCGCGGGCACTAAATGCTATAAAGCCGATTCTAAAAGAGCTACCTGTAATTATTCCATCAGAACAATATGGTTTTAACATATTCTAAAATCCTGGTTGAAGCCTTGAGTAATATCTTTAAGGCAACACTTATAAGTAGTGTGTGTTTTTGTTTCTGTTGTTGTTGTTGTTTTTTTATGGGGTAAATCAAAGAGGGGATAAACGGATATCAAACTTAAGTCTCTAGGCTTCTTATCATTACGGATGACTCAATTTTATAATTTTATTTATCGTAGTTTCAAAAAAGAGACAATGTACAGTGGAACTGCTTCTTTAAGATCGCCTAAGGTCCACAAACATTTAGTCCTATCAACGTCGATCGAAATTTTCTTATTAACTGGCAAGAGAGGATAAAGAGTAGAAGAGTTAATACTCCATATAGGCCTTATTTCCAAGGTTATCCCTCCCAAAATAATTTTTTTAGATCACTCCCGGATTTGGAAATCCCAGAAGCGTGTAGAAATAGCCAATCCTTTGAAGCGTATTCTGTTCGCGTGGACAGCCTAAGCGAGAGTCTGCACTTCTTTCCATCCTCCACGAAAACATCCACGCAACGCGCGTGGTAACAACTTGAAGGATTGTCGTTTGTAATCCGTGATAATCTTCTCCATTAACCATCCTTGTTCCTTTACGGTCTATTAGTATCTTTTAAGTGCTTTTCTATCTTTATAAACTACTATTTTCAGGTTTCCTTCAATTTCAGGGTAATTTTGTGCGTGGCCAAAATTACTCAAAATACTGTGACTGAGCTCCTTTAAAGAGAGGGATTACTTTAGGAATAACGTCTTTATGGGGGATTAAGTCGCTTACCCTTCATCCTCTCTTGTAACGGGTCGATAGATTTCTTCTTCTTAGACTTCTTTCTGTAGTGACGCAGGTGGTTGCGACAGTCAACAGAACACAGTTTTATTCAATAAAAATCTCTTCTTTTTGATTTTGTCACTGTTTTCTTTTCTTCGAGCGGCGAAGCGCGGATCACTCACTTTTGTAAGACAGCGAAGTAGATTCAATTCCCCCACAAGTCTTTGACTTCTCCC